CTGATATTTATGTTGCCTTTGAAATTTTGTCCCAAGATGCTGATGTGTGTAAGTAAGAACAAATTACTATCCACAAAACAGTGAAATAACACAACTACCCTGTAATGTATGAAATAAATTATATAAAAAGAATAATTTTACATTGACCTTTCTGTTTATAGAAACCTTCTAGCAGTAATAGATACAGAGGTGTCAGCTAGAATGTCACTTCTCTTCCTAGATTTGTCTCTTTAAATATCTAGGCTTAATGCATCTTTTTGTATGTCATCAGAAAAGAAAAGGTTTATGGCTTTTCACATCTGTTTCTTCTGAGAGCAGGAATCATGAGATCGAACTGACTGACCTGTTCCAGCTTCGCTGCTTTTAGAGCACGGAGGTTTTCTGGCCTATTTATGTGGCTGTGTGGTGAAAGCTCATGTTGCCTGGCAGCGTAGTAATAAACTAGTTGTGATGGAGAGGTCAAACCAAGCCCATAATTCTGGGCTGTTTCCAAAATGCAGAAGCAGTTTATTTTGGCCAAATTTCTTAACTGGTGTCCTGTTACCCAAAGAAGGGGCTCTGGAATTGATTAACTGCACACAGACTCGGTCTGTGTACATTTTCATTAAGAAAGAACCATTCGTGTTATGTTTTTCTCCATTACTTTCTCTCACTTGCTGTGAACAACATATGCATGTCCAGTTTTGCTGTAAAAATAAAGAAGTCTATATGCTTTTGTCACAAGTGTATTGGCTTTAAACTGATGCTTTCTTTCTAACATCTGTTTCAAGTGCGGTCTACTTCTCTCCTGTATCTATAATAATAAACATTAGATATATGTAGCTTAAAAAGCGGCTATGTCAGGCTGAGCCGTCCTTTTCAGTTGAAGCTGTTGACAGAGAGAGGCAGCAGCTGGGTCGGGAGTGCTAATTTAGCATGAACAGAGCAGCATTAATAACAGCTTAGGGCAAATAGGAAGTTTAGTTCAGAAAAGGAGCAAAATATTTCAGTAGGTTTAATACTGGGATGGGGCCATGGCAAAGGCAGGATATTACTGTTGAATTACCTTTTGTTTACTTCCCTACCCCCACCTTTTTCAACTCCCGTATTATTTGCATATTTAGAAATCTCAGGAAAAGTCTTTTGATGCCAAGTAATGGAGTAATTAGCTGGTGCCATAGAATTGTTTCCTGTAAGGCTTGATTGCTGCTTGGCTGTGAAATACTTGAGCTCAGTTCAGGTAGAACTTTTAAAATGAAACTTGTGATTTTTAGTTCCTAGGTACTTGGGTGCCAACTTTGACTTTTCGAAATACAGGTGCTCTGCACTTTTTGAAAACCATACTGCTTGAAGAAGTACTAAATTTTGAAATGAAAACTTATTTTTATAGTATTTATATTATATTTAAAGTGAGGCTTAATTTTTTTTCAGTGCACACTTCACAGTTAATGACTGCATGTTGTGCCAGCACGTTTTCATTACGCATTTTCCAGCAAAATAATTTGTATGAATAAAAACAGAAGGCACGTGCTTTTTAAACTACAAAACACCCTGGTGTTGGGACCTTGGAGAACACCGAGATGTTACATGTACATGAGTGAGCAGGCCCTTCCTCTCCTTTCTAAATATTTCTGTTCACTTCTTGCTGATGCCTTGAGATTTATGCAGAGCCTGCTCTCCAAAGGATGTTCTTGTAAGTTGTTTTCACATGATAAGTAGTCTGGCATCCTGGCGAAGTACTCTGGTGAAGTACTTTCTTTGTTCATAGTCCTGCTCAAGAATCTAGGCACTGGCTTGATATATTCACACTTCTGACATACCAACAGTATGTTTTTAATAATGTGTAAGCTTTAATGTTTTCTGCCTTGTAACACAGTTACTTGAGATCAGGAAGAGTATGAGCAGGTTTAATACTGTGTGAATGCAAAGTCTTGGTGCGATAACAAAAGATGGACATTTAATTGGAGACTGACTCATTTGTCATATATTTGAAAGGACACGGGAAGAAATCAGAATTGCAGTAGCACAGCAAACCCTTACTTATTAGCCAAAAGGAGGAGAAAAGATCTTATCCAGCAAGGCTGCAAAAGATTGCATTGTATTTTAGTTGCTGACGGGAAGTGATTTTTCTTAAACTGAAATTTCAAACAAAGGGTGAGGACGGGCTTGAAGGTTACTCAAGTGTGAAGCTTGTTTGTGCAATGTGACTAATAAATATTCTGTAAATATTTACACCAGTTTAGTGTTGTCCTAAACTCCAGTATCCTGAAACTAATTGTTTTTAAAAGAAGAATGCAAGTAAATTCTTTCACCACCAATAGTCTTGTCTCCCTTGTGGGTGATAAATATTGACCATTTCCATTTATATGCATGCATATGCCCATGTGCATACATATATTTTTTATTTATTATTTGTGGAAACCACAGTCTCCTTGTTATATTTTTTTATTTGCATTGCTTAGAAGCAGATCAATCAGCAGACTGTAAATTGATGTTAGGCTTTCGATGGCTTCCCTCTCAAACCATTTAAAACTCCCTCTTGTTCCATGGAATTTCATTTTCAGGCATGGCCACCGTCCTTCTGAAATGCTGCTTAAAAGAAATGAGAAACCAAACAGCCAAGAATCACAGAACAACAGAATCCTAAATTTTTTACTTACACCCTGATGTGTGAGAACTGGTTATCATTTTTAGGGAAACCCATTGCTGCATTTTCCAATTCTCTAAATGGATTCCTTTTGGAATTAGAGCTTTTTTCTAGGAAAAATATTTTGATAGTCTGTATCAATGCTTAACTCTGTCAATCTCAATTTCTGCTTTCAGCTTTTTCATAACTTTCTACTGCACACAGCGTTCCTATTCCATCCCCCAGTTCATTGTTTTCAATTTCAGATATTTGTAGGCTATTATGCTGTCTCACAACCAAATGTTTCTCATGCTACTAATTATTGTTCAGATTTTTTTTTTCCTGGTGAAATTCTGCTTTCATCTCAGTTATTATAAAAGTACTGCTAAAGTTTCCTTAGCTAAGAATCTCAGGAGACAGGGCTATAACTCATAGTTATAGCAGTCTCTTTACAGAAAAAAAAACAAAAGCCATAAATATACTACAGTCTTGAACTGAAATTCTCAACTTTTTATAAATATAATGAGTCTTCAGAAATATAGAGAAAGTGCAACTGTAATGACCATGCTTCAGAGTGTATTCGGAGCTCTAGGAATAATAACCAGTGAAAGGCATCTGCTATCTTTACTGTCTTTACCTGAATTTAGAAATTGTGTAAAATTCTCCAGTTGCATGGATTTTCCTTGGGAATGATACTAAATAACAAGCTTCCTTTACAGTATATTCAAAATGAAAATCTGATATGTTTTCATCGCAGAATGAAAAATTACTGTTGTGACACCACATTGTGCACTTATCTCTGGCAAGTATTATCCCAAGTAGCTAGGGAACCTGATATGGTTAAGAAAAGTTGTGATTTACTTTCACATCTACAAAAAGGTTTTAGAGCTAGAATTAAAATTAGGTAAACCACATCTTTAGTCCCAGATTTTTCAGCATTTCAGAAGCAAGATAGCACATAAGCATGTTGTCTTCAAAGGAATTAAAGCATATGCTGCAGGTTGTATCCTACCTGAATACAGGCAGCTTTTTGAATAGGAGATTAATAGATCACATCATTCATTCAGATTTTAAACAAAGTAAGTAATCTCATCCAACTGGAAAATTCTGCCCCAAGCTTCAATTTCAGCTTCTTTCGCTCACACCTACTAATGACTGAGGTTTCTGGAGTAACTCCCTGGTTGATGGCAATGCATCAAATCCATTGCCATCAATGCATCAAATCTGTTTGAGATACACAGATACGGCTTAGTTACAGTACCTCTGTTTTCTTCATAGAAGCTGATGCTTCCATCTTCTAAATTGTGAGTGCTGTAGTGAATAATCCAAGATGCTTGGGACAGGCACAAGATGTGCTAATACACCCGTTGTTTGTCTGATGCACTACGCTAGGTTTGTCATAAAATGTAAGCTAGGATTATTTTTCTCTTCATGAGACTGCAGACAGGAAACTAACCAGTCTTTTTATAGCGATAGAAAAGTAAATGGTTTTTATGTTGCATCTTGTTAGAAGGTAGATACATGCAGGTTGCTTAGTGTTGCAAAAATGATATTTGTAATAGGTTTACTTTTTTTTTTTTCTTTTGCATATGTTTTTCATTATGCTTTGGTAATTTTTATTTGACCACAGCTTATTTTAGGATGCTTCCCATTTGATGTGTGTCTGCTTTCCTCCTGGGTTGAGTAATATTTTGTCACAGATGGCACTTCACTTCTTCAGCCAGAATGTTTCCCTGTGAATGTCTGGTTGTTTTTTTTTTTTTTTTTTAAAAAGGTCTAAAACAAAGCCATTGTGTTTGTGATCAAGCAGAAATTAGTGTTGGGAACTCCTGTTTTCCACCAAGCAGGTAACATGTAGCTGTGTCAAAATGTCAGGCCACACAAAGTTCAACAACTGAAAGCTTTGTCTGGCTCGTAGCAGTATTTAACTGACGAATAAGACAGTTCATCCAAAAATCCTCATGTCCATGTGCTGCGTGACATGTACTTTTGATGTACTGCACGTACTTACATTTAAGAGTCAATAGTCTGACTTGCAAAGACATTTAATGAAGATGCCTTACAATGACTAGGCTTTGATTATATTCCTGTCTTGGCATTGGTTAAAGTTCTGTTACGCTTCTCTTAAACAGATTTGCATACATAACTAGGGATAAAGTTAATGCTAAAAATGTCTTTGCTAGTTTTTAATAAAAAATTCCTAAGTGTTTTTTTGTTTTTTTGTTTTTTTTTTAATGGCAAAATGTTTTTGAAAACTACATGCCCTTTAAGGGGGGTTGGAGAGAGACAGAGGTATAGATGGATATATGTGTATTTAGCGGTCATAGCTGGGTGAATTGACTTTACTGATTTTTCACACTTGCATTTCTTGTTTTTTCTTTAAATCCCTGATCAGAGATTGATATTGAGCGTTGTGTTCGTGAGTCAATCAACCTGTTTCGCTGGACCCCGAAGAGTGCTACATACAGGCAATATGCACAGCCTCCACGGCAAGCCAGTGAGAGCAACGGCGCAAGAAGTTCAATGTCCTGCTTTTCAGCAGACTATCAGGAAGCACCTCGAAGTGACCTAGTAAGTGACCTGGGAATTGGAGGGGGGAGAATTACTCAGATTGCATGTTTCTCCTGTCCCAGGTGGTTTTTTTTCTCTTTAAAATTTAGACAGAAAGAAAATACCCACCAAACCTCAGTTACTGGCATTTATGTTGTCACTTCCAAGCACAGGGGTTTGACACGTTCAGCAGATGTTCTTATTTGCTTGTCAGCTAGTGCACAGTGTTAGAGCCTCTCCCATATTATTAATTTTGAGGAACAATCCTATGCAGCGAATGAGAATTAACTGAGAGGTTGTTGGGTTTTGGGTTTTTTTTTTTAACTTCACTGCTTTGAACTTCAGATTCTTTGATGTACATGCCAATAAAATTATTTCTTCTTGTGCCATATTTCTGCCTCTCCTAACTCCTGCTCCTTTGGTTCTGTGGTGTTTGTTACCACAACAGACCAATGTCCACGACTCACCTGCAGAACTACAGACAGGCTTTATCTTAGGAGAAAAACAGTAAAAATAACAGTTTGCCAGTGAGAAATAGGTAACTGGAAAGTGATGCAGGCAGCTCTGGCTGCTTTTTCCGTCTTGGCATGTCAGGTTAAAGGTATGGCTCAAGTTATTTTGAGAGGTAGTATGTGAGTTATGCCTGTGTTTGTCTTGGCAAAGAGTAACTCGTGGCTAAGAGTATATCTGCATTAAATAGGTACTCAGTTCAGCAAAAATATTTTTCACTTCTCCGTCCAGTAAAATCTGATGGTTGTTTCTCTTGTCAAATACACCATCTGAAGAGTGGTGATTTGAAATTATTCCTTTCCTCCTCTCTTAAAAATTAGCAGGTTTATTTTGGTGTGTTTTCCTTCTACGTTCTCCTACAGTCAGAATTCATTCCTGAGTACATTACAATGATAGGAGAAGGATATATAGACCTGCCACGTCTATTTGGTCAGTTGCATTAGGTTTTAGTCTTTGTGCTTCCTAACTACTAAGAAACTAAGAAGTGTTTTGTCAGTCAAGTGTATCTTACTTTTTAAGTAGTCCTTAAACCTGAGTCTGATATTCAGTCATTATCTTGTTTTTTACTTTAGTTTTGATTTTATTTCTATTGGTGTATTTTCTGGAAGCCTTAGCCACAAATCCAGGACTCTAAGTGCTAGACATGCAAATGCAGAACAAAAGGAAACACAGGATTTAAAATAATAGGTGGATGTAGAAAGGCAATTGGGAAGAAAAATGAAATGACAGGAGACTACTGGCTGTTGTCATACAGGAATTGTAGCCAACGCAATTGCTGCTGTGCTGTTCTAGAGATAAGTTGAGAGACTTTCTGAAGGAGCTAGGGGCTGCACATTCGTAGAATAATTCAGATAGGACCTTAGGAAGTCATCTCGTACAAATTCCTGCAGAAAACAGGCCCGCAATTGGGAAGAAAAATGAAATGACAGGAGACTACTGGCTGTTGTCATACAGGAATTGTAGCCAACGCAATTGCTGCTGTGCTGTTCTAGAGATAAGTTGAGAGACTTTCTGAAGGAGCTAGGGGCTGCACATTCGTAGAATAATTCAGATAGGACCTTAGGAAGTCATCTCGTACAAATTCCTGCAGAAAACAGGCCCAACACGGAATTAAGATGGGGTTGCCCAGGGCTTTGTTCCGTCAGGTCATGAAAACTTCCAAGGAAAGACATGCAGTCTCTCTTGGCAGCCTAGTCTGATGCCTGACAGTGCTAACAGTGAAAACGTTTTTGTGTATGTGCTAGCTGTACTTAATGTTAGGATGACAAGAGAGTCAAAAGACAAGTCTCCTCTGTCCTAAGGATGTGCTTGTGCCTTTCTGTGTCCAAGCAAGAGTGAAGGGACTTAGAAATAGCAAGGAGGGAGACGGGAGAAAGCAGCAATGGTCTACTGAACTGGTAAATAGAACAAAGATTTATATTTGTAGCAGAGATAAAAATCCATTATTTTGGGTCAAGCAAAGTTTCTTTTAACATACTTCGATTTCCTGAGAATTTTTTTGGGTGTTTTTTTCCACGATAGTAATTTTATTTTCATACCAGAAGTTGTGTTTGTTTATAATGCCAGTAACTAGGCTCATCCATCCCACAATTTCCAAGAAATTAAGTTAATGTTTTTGGTATGTTATAGAGAAGAAAAATAAGTACTATAACTTCTATTGCTTTCTCTTTCATTTCTACTTCTTCCTACTTAACAGCAAAGCGCATTTCACTTACTGCACTGTAACTGATGGTTTAACTTCTTTTGAAGCTCAAGTGTATTGGATCTTTTGGGTACTGCTGTACGGTTTTGTAGCTTATCATATGGAGCAGCACTATATGATTTATACAGAAATATGTGAACATATTCAGGCTTTTTCTGTAGCAAAGAGGAAACTGATCTCATGGACACGTGAATGACAAGGAAGCCGATTCATATGTTAAGTTTTAGTCTACAAATGTGTTTGCTCTTGTGTGCTGTATTTTTGTGCGTCAGATTTAGAGACAGACATATACAAGCCAAGTATGTTATGGTTCTGTCAGGAGGCATAGTTCAGACTTTGAAAATCCTGTGTAATGTGAGCCCCTAATGAGCTAGCTCTTACTCGTGACCAGTTTAGCACTTCTGGATGTTTGCCTTTATAAGATGACGCTTCTCAGGGGTTTGAGCAACACTGCTAAGGAAAAAAAAAAAAAAAATTGAAGTTATTGGTGAAATACACTATTTACACCCAAAGGTGTTTGGGTTTTTTTTCTTTTTTTTAACCTTAATCCTAGAACTATCTGTCTCTTTCTTCAGACATGTGCTCTAGAGATGTTTGCTGCCATGGGGAAACTTTTTTCCTATTTGAAAGCAGTGGAATCTGAGTTCAATCTTTAGTACACACAGTAGCCTTTAATGGACTTTCTAAAACACCATTGTGTCCTTGCTGGTCAGTCTAGCTTTTAAAACATTACTTTGCCGTTTCCCCACCTATTTAGCTGGTCATTATTTGGACAAGCACTTTGCACTACATTTGTATCTCCAGTTTTATGTTTGTGGGTCACCTCTGTATTTGAGGGTGGGTAGAGCAGGAAACAATTCCTTTGTAAACATAGCTGTGGGTTTGCTTCTGAAGGTAATTTATGACTTCTTGAAACATTAAGTCTTTAGTGTATTTAATTCTAAACACCAGCTGTCTCCTACTCCTATATTTGTGTTTTCCTTCTAAGCTGCTTCAGTTTGTTTCTTAAGTGCTTTTTATTGGCTACTCAAATATTTGTGTGTATCTGCATGTTACGGTGCTTTGGTTAATAATAACATGAGAAGTATTTGCCCCTGGGTGAGCACTTTTCTCCCTAAACCAGCAGCCAGTAAAACCAAACTGGTTTGACTCTTTTTATCACTAGTATTGCTTAGTTTTCATTTTAGTGTCATCTATTTGCAACTTCATAAATAGGCTTGGGTGCTCTCTTCCCTCCTGGGCTTGTGTGTTGCTTAATCTTTTACTCTTTCAGCCAGTAAGCATAGTTCTACTGAGATAAAATCTCAAGGAGGAAATAGTTTCAGAGAGAATGAATGTACATCTTAAGTGGGTTTGCATGTTTATTTTGAGAAAGATAAAACGTCAAAAATAAGAACAGAAAAAACCCTTTAATTTCACTACTGAATTTTAGTAGCCGTTTACTCAAATTTGTGTCTGTAATTCTTTCTTGACCAGTACACTGATGATTTTTTTCTTACTCTTCCTGAAACTTACCTTCATGCCCTGGAAACTCCCAAAGTATTTTTCTTGAATATCCAGGAGTCACAGAGACAAGTAACACTTGTCATGTAATAATTTTCTGCTATGCCCGTATCTCCCTTATTATAGACATGGTAGATGTACATTCTCTCCAGCTACCTGTATACTTCTAAATAAAAGCAAGAGAATGATGCAGTTTCTTTATGAATGTCTGCTTGGATGTGGCAGGGGGGCTCCCAGAAATCCCGAGGCTGATACAATTATGCCTTCATCTTGGTCTTCTACCACCATTCCTCTGTTTTCAATGGCGGGAGTTCCTGATTAATGTTGGGGAATGAAAGCATTCAACTGGAGAAAAGTCTACCAGATGGTTATTGATCCTTGCAATGATTTAAATGCCACCAGTCCAGTTCAGCTTTTTGTTTTTGATGAAGTAGGAGAAATACCTAAGCAGGAAGGTGACTTAATGGCTTAATGAAATAGTACAAATGTGAAAAACATTTCATAGAATCATTAAAGTTGGAAAAGACCTCTGAGATCATTGAGTCCAACCGTTAACCTAACTGCCCGGTCCACCTCTAAACCATGTCCCTAAGCACCACATCCACACATTTTTTTTAACACTTCCAGAGACTGTGATTGCACCATTTCCCTGGGCAGCCTGTTCCAATGCCTAACCACTCTCTCGGTGAAGAAATTTTTCCTGATATCTAATCTAAATCTCCCCTGGCACAACTTGAGGCCATTTCCTCTTGTCAAAAATATCAAACCCTATCAAAAATAGTATGAGTAAAGTTTCCTGATGGTAACTTTTCTTTGCAGATAATCAAGGATAGCTTGCGTGACAGACTTCTTAGAGATAGGAATTCAGGCGTATTGGCAATAAATATGCTAGCACTCAGTTGCTTCTAATTTCCTGTGTGCACCTAGGATATATTTGTCCATATAAAATGTATTGGCTAGGTTTATATTAAGCCCTTGAATAACAGGTGTGTAAAGTCCATCTGTTGTTCTAAAAGCAGCATGATGAGTAGGATATACCAACATTTCTCTCCAGTGTGCAAGCTAGGAAATGCCCAAGTGCAGTGGTGCAATGTCCGTGCTGTTCATAAAGGCCGTTATATATATTCTGCCTTTCAGGTTTGTTTTGTAGGGAACTTGTGTTTATGTTCTTTCATTGTTCTACGACTCAACAGAAAGCTGTTCCTCAAATTTGTCTTTAGTTCATGTTGTTCAAAGCATTAACTGATCAAGATCTGAGTTACTGTTTCTAATTTATTTTGCATGTGCCTTTGATGCTTCTGTTTTT